AACCCCGGAGCTTTGGTCAGGCCCGGCCGTTGGGTTCCGAATGGGATTTGTTGGTTGCTTTCAGTGGGTCAACCGGTTTTTAGTTGCAGAAACCCTTCCATCTCACAAAAAGGTTTTTAGTTGCAGAAATCCTTTTAGAAGGTTCTTAGTTGCTTTTCGGGCTGTTTGGTTCCTGGTGGGTTTAGTGGTTGGGTTTCCGAATGTAACCCCACACGTCAGCCACTTTTAGCGGGGGATCTGAGAAGGGGCAGCCCAGCTGGGTCTTTTGTCGTTTAGCGGAGATTGCAGCGGTTCATGGATCTGCAAACGAGCACAGGGCCCTAGTTGGGCATCTGCGGGCATGGGCACAAGGCTCTTTTAGCGAGGACCTAACTTCCGGAGATTTGTCTAGAAGACTTTGATTGGAGGGTGTCATTTGGCTTTGATATTGAAGGGCTCCGGAATTTCTCTCACCCCATTCGGACTGCTGGCTATGGAAGCAGCCAAGGAATCCGCCTTTGTCTGGACACACTGGCCCTTATCTAGATTCTTTGTTCGTGGCTGTGGAGTGTGTGTGCTCCAAATTTGTACCTACCCCATACGTAGGTTGACATCCCACTTCAATTTTAGGTTGGTTTAAAAGAAAGTCACCAAGAGAACCCACCCATCTTAAGGGAGGTTCCTTATTTGGATGACATACCCATTTGCTTGAAATGAAACTTGGTTTCAAAGGGACGCCATACCACAAGGTTGTCCACCATTTTGTGAAACCCTCTGTGTGCATGTGCCTTTTTTCAGGCTCCCTTGCCAGCAAAAAAAAGCAAAGGAAAAATGAAGTTTTTGCTTTTCCCTTCAAAACTACACAAACTCCAAAACAAGGCACACCCACATGCTTGTTTTTTCCCTTTTTTGGTTTCTCCCGTTGAGGAAAAGGAGCTGCCCCCGATTCCGTTGGATGCCACAAGCGGCCTGGCGGCCCAGTCGTTGAGGTTTTCAGCGGCGTTTTCGTGGAGGTTTCAGCTCCCTTCCAACCGGTGGTTTGTTTTGCTTTGGGGAGAGATCGTCGTTCCTCGACTTTCAGACTTTCAGGACTAGCTTGGATTTGTCATGCTGCGCTTATGGTCGCCAGAAGCAAGACAGCCATGCTAGGAGTTGGTTGTGCATTCTTGGATTGCCCTTGAGTAAAGGGGCGCCAAAAGGACGTCACCTGTGTGCAGGCGGCCCTCATTTGCAGAAATAGCTTGTTGCTTGCAAAAAGTTTGGAGCACACCGCCATTCAGCCTGACCAAAGTGCCACAGCTGTCGCAGAAAGAAACGGTGTTGTCCCTGTAAGAGACCAAAATTTGTTGGGAAAGCCTTTAGTTCCCTGCTTCTGCTACCCCCGTGTGCCTGTCAGCCTGTGCGCGTATTGCAGCTATGGAATTGTCAAGCTTTCATCCAGATCCCTACCCGACTCAGCCGATAGCTTCCCCATTCTCCACGCACTTTACTGATCATTCTTTCCAGAATGCCACCAAGAACCCAAAGCAGACATTAGAAAACTACATTGCCACTTTGTCAGTTGTAGAAATCCTCTTGAGCAGACCCTTCCACTATAGGCAACCGTCACTTGTCCTGTTGGTTTTTGAAGTAAAAGGGTGGTTACCTTGAAATTCAGACCCTAGAGGTAAATGGATCCTGGATAGACTGGGTTGGGTATGTCTCACTGAGTTTGACCCAGGCTTCAGCAGGACTTCGGCTAACAACTTCCATGCCCAAAAAAGTGTTTTTTGGTGTCGCAAAGGCCGCGGCACAGGCCGGGGTTGAGCGAAACCTAAGAAAGTGGCCTCCTCCTCTCACTCCCCGAGTTGGATGTTTTATGCTTTTTGGGAAGACCATTTCGGTATACAAAAGGTTCAGTGTGACTTTTTTCGGCCCATCCACGAAACGCGAGCCCGGCGTTTTGTTCTATGCCTTTTTCGGCCGCAAAAAACCGAACCTCCGACTTTCTCGGTGCTCCGTGCGTGGACTTGTTATCTCGACGGCAGGTTCTACGACTTGGCGCCTGCCCGGCGGAAGCATCGTGGAGATCTCGCGGACGCCGCTGGGAGAGAAATGTGTTGTGTTTTCCTTTTTTCACTTTTTAGACTTTTTGACTGTTTGAGTTGTTTTTTCTGTTTTGACTTTTTGACTTTTTTGACTCGCGCGCGCCAAGATGATGTTTACCCCTGTTCATTAATATGGGGAGGGGTCCCTGGGTTTAGTGGGGAATCAGACCACTTTTGAAGAAGAGCACCCCCATGGGAATAAACACGGGTTTGTTAATCCGGGGTCAACATTCAGGGGACCCACAAATGGTTGATAGTGTCCTTTCGGTTTTCAAAAAGGAGGTGGTTTTTTGTCCTCCTGAAAAGGAGTATCCTCCCAACAAGATGGTTTTTTGTTGTCGTTTTTTCGTGACCCCGCAATCTGTTTCCTCACTCTTTCCGTCTTCTACGGAATGGTGAGTGAAAGGAGCGGGCTGTCATGTCACATCCACCTTGATTTGTTTGGCTTGACATGCGACAGCTTCCCTTCCCCATCCCTGCGGTCCTTTCCGGCGACTAAAGGGACGCCGTGAGGGGGGATCCTTCCCGCTCACCAACTCCATCTCTCTCATGCTCAAGTCGCCTTTCCTTATCTTCACTCATCACTCAGCTGGAACTTGTTTTCATGTGGCCGGTTGAAAGCTGTGACTGGAGAGTGAACCCGCCCTCTGTCCGATCTCTTCTTCCTTAACAGACTCAGCAAGTCGTGGAATTCTCGTGGTGGGAGCTGATCGAGAGAAGCGAGGCAGAAAAGATCTGAGATGAGAGAGCCGCCAACTGTGCCTGAGAGCTTCAACATGCCTTCGGTTGGAGCTCTTCTCATCATGTGTCCATCCTTTCCCAGCCGGTTCTTTTACCCTAGACAAGTCAGGTTGAGCACGAGAGAAAAGCAGGCGGCCAAACAACGGTTGTAAGGGAGTTAGCAGTGCGTCTATATTGTAATATATATATATATATATGTCCGCCGGCGCCTACGTTTGCCGTCGCTCAACCACGACCCGATAGGGGAGGGGAGTTCGCTTTTGCTTGAGCATAAATCTTGACTTAGCGATCCCACAACATGTTGGGCTCAAGGCCCTTCTTTCAGTACATGTGTTAGGTACTACAGCCAGGCATCGAAAAAGGCCCTAGAGCTGTAAGGTCTGGAAGTGAGCCCGTCCAAAAAAAAACTCAACAAAAAGACACGTTTTGGCGGGAGGTGGGGGATGGCTTTGCTCTTGGGATTGCTAAGAAGGTCCCTGACTTCGAGCGGGGAGACCATGGGACGCTCCTCCCTGTCCCCGATTTTCAGGGAGAGCATAGGCAGATCAATTGACCAATATATCCAAGGGGTACACGCCTGATATGACGACAGTCCTTTACAAGGGAAGCCTGCATTCAGAAACTACCCGCGTGAATTGTCCGTTCCAATGTCCAAAGGTATCTGGAGTTCTAGTTTGGTGTCGTGCCCCCAAACTAAGGCGTCGTGCCCCCTATGTGTTCTGAGGGGTACTGCCTGAGAGGGCGTCAAAAATTTGGAGCTCTTGTGGTATCTCCTTCAAACGGCGGCCTTGTGGACGTAAGGGGTCCATCAGAAGCGGACATATTTCTTGGGACCCAGTGGCTTGCAACTGCCGAGGTGACGGCCCCGATCTACGGCGCCGTTGGGAGAAAAACAAAAAACTTGGAAGCGCCTGCGAGCGGCGAGAGTTATCTCTTTCATTGTTGGGGTCTCAGGGAATCTTCTTCTATGTCAAGGTGGACTGGATGTTGGTGTGTCTCTTTTTGAGGGTGCCACTTTTTGTGGGTGTCAAAAAGAAGCATATGTTTCGGGGTTATCGCTAGAAAACATGCCCATGTGAAACAAACTCGGAAAGTATGACGTGTGGTGTATCTCAGACTTAGAACACATGTAAAACGTTAGGGATCCCCAGAAAGTCCCTGGTGGTTTTAAACAGCTTTGGGGTTAATTTGAAGCAAGCTTCCCTTTGGGGCTTTGACGTTCAAAGGGGGAAATCTTGGGGAGCCCTGTTTTAGGGATGACAACACCTTGCTAGAATTTTGGCGGGGGTTCCTGTGGATCCTTTTTTCAGGAACCACAGTTGTCCAGGTACCGGGAATTTGTCTAGGCAAAACTGTTTCGATTGCTTTTGGCGTCAGGCTGAAAAGGGTTGCGAAACCCATTGAGTGTCCTTCAAAGTCCGCAATGAGTTTTGGACATCATGCGTTTTTTTTTAATGTGCTTCTCGGCCAGTGGTCCTCGATAGTCTCGACTGAGACAAGAAGACCACAAACCAAACTACCTCAAGGCGAAAATGTCCCCCCCCCCCCTCCCGTCGTTGATATGGAAGCACTCTTTCAGATTGAGGGAGATTGGTTTGTGGCAGTCTTATTGGTTCGGCAGAGTATTGCAGATTTTGTTTGTGGGCATTGATTGGTTTGTGGATCCGCGCGTAGAGGCCAAACAAGGGCCCTATGCAGGCCCACAATTGTTGAGGCATATACACTTCTACCAATTCCTTGGCATTTCAACATTCCGTTTCGCCTCCAAACGTGTTGGTCGACCTCACTTCGGTCGGCCATTGTTTGGAGGAAAGCCAAGTATCGCCGACCTCGGCTTTGCAAAGTCAGGATTTGAGTGATGCCAAGTGGTTATTATTTTCATTTCGGGAACCTCAAAAGTTGTTGGGCAACTTACTTCCTGAGTTCCTGGACCCTAAACTTTTTGTGAACGCCATTTTGGTTTCACGTGAAAGGTTTGGCTAATTGGCTGCTTTCTCTCTGCCCATCCACTCAGGAAGTGAGAGACAGCAACATGTGTTCACATCCCAGAGTTTGTTCTTTTTCCCCGAGCATGCGATGCACCCGCCCCATCTAAAGACTCACTGCACATCCCATGTTTGCACATCCCAGGTTTGGTTTTTGTTTTTCCCTAAGCCTTGGATGCACCCGCCCCATCCAAAAAAACATCGCTGCAGTTCCGGCTCAGAGCCATCGGCGAGCCATGGGCGCCTGCGCGGGCAAAGGCGGGCTACCCGAGAGTCGAAGGGTGGTCCTGGCCCGCGACGAGGCGGGGGATGGGTGGGGGTTGCGGGCGGTGCCTTCCAACGTGAGGTGAACCAGCCAAATGCGAAGCCCTGTAACCCGGATAATCTTATATCCAGATTAATAAACCTTTGGTTGATTTGATTGGGGGGTGTCCCCGTTCAGCGGGGACTTATCGCTTTTGGAGGGGGCACCCCCCCGAATGGGACGGGTTTAATCCTGGATGCTCCGGGGGCGTTCAACGGAAGACCCGGTCTCAAAACCTGGCTGGGCCCTACATCGAATTGGAGCCTCTGGGAAATGCAAAACCCGGTAACCCAGAGGTGTCACGTACCACATATATCAACGGTTTTGGGCTTGGTTCAAGGAGATTCGTGAAGTGCAGATTCCTCAAATCCGAACATATGAGGAACTTGAACCCTTTGGCTAAGAGGTAAGAAGCTACGAAGCCCTGGTTGCCAACTATAGTATACGGGTGGCTCGTCTTTTTTGGAGTCCGTACCCCTTGTTTGCCGCTGCAAAGGGGGGGAAACCAGCAGCAAATCACATATATATACATATATATGTATATATATTTTGGGGGGGGTCGCCTAGGAAGCAACACACCCATGAAGTGGACACTGGAAGCAGGTTGGGTACCTGCCATAGCCAACTCGCAAGCCTGGGCCACCCAGCCCAATTCTGCCCGACCCAGCACCTTCGTACCAGCTAAAGAGCTAACTCCCGATGAATTCATAGCAATATGGAGTTCAGTACAGTTGACTGCGATTCTGCGGACTCAACAGATCCCGGTGCAATTTAGGCACCAGTATGTGTCAAAATAGAGGGACCTTTGCTTGGCTTTTGAGCTAAGATGACCAGGGTTCCGATCAAAGACCTCAAGCTTCCAGGCTTGCCAACACTGCGACCTGCAGCAAGGGGCCTCTCCGATGTTCGACTTCTCAGGTGGTGACCAGCGATGTGGATCCCTGCGCTATACGCAGGCCCAACCTTCACCCAGCAGGGCAGCAGGAGACCAACTCGACTTCGCACCTTTTATCCGGGGACTAAGCCAAACGAAAAGCCGCACTGCGTGGAAGAAGCCAAACGGAACACGGGGCTGCAGAACCCCAGCCTTGCCTTTTGATGGTTTTCTGCCTCCGACTCGGAAGCTTGACTAGGTCTCCCAGCTAGGTGCCCTTCTCTCCCCTTTTTTTGGGGGAGGGTTTCCCTACTAATGAAATAGGCTACAGAAAAAGCAGTACCCTTATTCCAACCTCTCTACTGCAGGACCTAGCTACAATTGACGGTTTTCTGCCTTGGAAGCTTTAGAGACGCGTGCAACACAGGCCGATGATCCTGACCGCATTGGTTGCCATCCGCTGGTTCTCTTGGTTCTCTTGGCATCGCGCGGCTGGTTGTTGGGAAGCCAGCTCCTTCCAGAACTGCGGTTTCCCACTTGAAGCCGTCATCGCCGTCCAAGAGAGGAACTCCTTGGAAGCTTTTTTTTGCGGCGTGACCAACAAATCGAGTCGGACAAAGGTCTCATTTTGTGCGGTTGTTCTTGAGTCAGAAGGGTCACGAGAGGAAAACAGAGCTCCTCCACATCTGTTAAGGAAATCCAAATCCTGCGAGTACAGGTACTTGAAATGGCCCAAATGTGTCCTTTAACTGGCCCATTGTTTTGCCTTCTCAAAGTCACCTTTCAAGTGGTGGGTTAAACAACCCCCCCATTTGCTGACTCTATAACCCCAAAAAGCAGCCAAAATCATTGCTGACCCCAGTTGTTTCAGCACCTGGCAAAACGCCCCCAAATTCGGGGAAAGAATGTTCTGGCGAGCACCTCAAGATCCAAGATTCGGAGAAACCACCTAAAATTACTGGACGATGCCAAGATCAGGATCATGATGCATTCAGAGAAATGCATCGAACGATTGAAAGCCAAAAACATCGCAGGCATGCAGCCTCTCGTTCTGATTTACTTCCGGAACTGGCTTTTCAGGACCATGACCGCTACGTCCGTGCACTGGGGCTCTACCTGAAAGCAGTCCACCATGCGCCAGAAGCCTTGGCTGAAGGCTTAAACGGGCTCCCAAAAAGGGCGCAGCATCTCATCTGTGGTTTCCGGCACATTTTCCTCTTGATTTTCCTTTCGGTGTCGTTAGATCGAAGCCCTCAGAGTCCTTCCAGAAACAGCGGCCAAAGCTGCCGCCAAAGATTCGGGCGTTGCCGTTGAGGTGCTGCTTTGGGCGGTGGATAAGGAGACGAACCCGGAAGAGCTACGGGGAAGGTGTACCACCGGCTCATCAAGTCTAGTTCTGGGAGTTGCTCTGGAACTTCGGGCCGGTGAAAACTGACCACTGGGTCTGAAAGGAGTGCCAACCCTTCAACTTGGGACTAGGTCTCCCAGCTAGGTGCCCTTCTCTCCCCTTTTTGGGGAGGGCTGCCTAAAATAAACTACAGAAAAAAGGAAGGGTACCCTGATTCTAGCCTCTCTACTGGAGGATCTGGGGGACGTGCAAGTATGTCTCATGGTCTTTGAAGACACCAAGTTCAGACCTGCGCGAGCAGCTTTGCAAGTCTTCAACATAGCAGCTCGCTTCTTTCAACGGAGCCTGTATTTGGAGTCTGCATGACGCTTTAATGGGGCATACGTAAAAATGAAGGGTGTATGATCTTTTGACAAAGGTGCCTGGGATGTGTCTTTTTGGGGGGAACCATCTTTTGGTGGTTTTAAAAGGACGCCAACAGGAAAGCCACCATTTTTCTAGGGGTTGATTCCCTATTTTGTGCAACCATCGTGTTTTTTTTTGCAAAACCAGCTGCTTCTCCCGGGTTTTGTTGGGTTTTCTGCAAAGAAGGTTCAGTGGAAAGAATGAAAATGGAACCTACGCCTAGAATTTTGGGGCTCCGATTCCAAAAAATGTTAACCCGTGGAGGCTCCAGCTGAAAACTGTCAATTTTTGGCTGCCGAGGATACATTCAGCCAGTTAGTGGATCAGCGACGCCGATCAGCATTCTCGGCCGCCTCGCTGCGATTGAGACGCGTCGCGTCGTTCTGTGAGTGGCTCGTCTGTTTTGATGGTACCCGTTTGTGGGGTTTGTTTAAAGGGACACCGCCAAGTGAATAAACAAATATGTTAAAGAGGGCTGTTGAGAGTCAGCATCCGTGTTGCCATAGCCAAGACAAGCCGACTCGGCGGGGCTCCTCCCAGAATGTAACGAACACAGTTTGCATTTTACAAAAAGAAGCCATCAGGAAAGCAATCCTGGCCGCTAATTTGAAAGGAATGTTCAGTGCTCTTCCATGACGTAACTGAAGCGAGAGAGGAAAAGGGCTCAACAAAATGTCCCCAGCCCCCTGTGTTGCTTTTTGTTGCACATTGACCTATTCACACACTTGATCGCTCAAGGCCCTTCAAGTCACTTGTACAGTCATTCGACTCATGGTACATTGATAAAAAGGCTTGCGACCGCTTCACAGGATTCACAGTCAACACAAGCCACCAGGGACAATCCATCCTCCAATCCTCCATATTATTGGCATATTGGACTCTCTCCGGAATAGATCCAGGGACCAAATCAACGACCTCTACTACCACAGGGTACCAGTTCCCTTCTGGGATAGGCACCCCGGCAGTGGGCCTCAATTTGTGGTAGCGGAGCTGTGGCACCATCTATTCTGGCCCTAGCCGGGTAGCTGCGGAGTGCTAGCCCCAATCGTATTGATTGTTCAGGACTACGTAGTGCTTACCACCAACGCCTTATCCAGTGATCAATTTGTGGTAGCGGAGCGGGTTTTCCGCAGAGATCCAAGGGAAGATGTCATCCGATGGCTTCATGGAAGCCTATTCAAGTATGGCCAAACCATCAGGCTACACGGAGGAAACACTCAATTTGTCGATGACCGCCAAGCAGCTCGTGGACGACTGGGTGACAATCACTACGGTGGAGGCAATCAAGAGAGGCCCTCTGCTCAAAGCAGACTCACAGGAGATGCCTATATGTACAAGGCAGTCCTCCAAAATGACCTCTTTGCAAGATCCTGATGAAGGAGTCAACTACTTCAAGAACACGCTGAAGAAGTACTTTTTGAAAGGTGCGACCAACGTGTATCTGTACAGGCTCCTCAATTTCTTCAATCATAGAAGGCAGAACCTAGATTTCCTCATTTTTACCTCAAAATTCGAAATCCTTCTTATGAGATTGAAGGCAGCATGGATGGACTTGATGCCTGTTTTCACGGCACAGTCCCCATCGTTTCGACAGTCCGTACAGGACGCAAATGCAAGAACAATTGCTCGACATCGAGTACCGCCTCCAGTCCTGCTCGATGAGGGTGATCCAACAGTCCTCAGACAGTATATCACGGGAATGCAGGACAGACAGCGGGACGCATTTCCCTTCAGGGATAATCTCATTGCACAGTTTTTCCATCATACAGAGTGAATTGTCAGATCAGCAGAGAGAAAGACTGACCAGTGCAATGTCACCGAGAAACATTTCACTAGAGAACTACTCCTATGAGATGCTGAAGACGCATTACCATGAACTCTTCATCACAACCAGGACATCCATTCAAGATCCATCCATCCGACCTCAAGGAGGCAACCGAAGCAATACCTTCTTCATCATCGAACAAGGTGAATACGAAGGAGAAGAAGGCTTTTGGGTTGAGGATGAAGAAGGACTTGAAGGATTCATGTCAAACAACGATGAAGAGACATTCTGGGTCCTCGAGGAGAACGATGCGTTCATAGCAAGAAAAGTGTCAGGGCGGAATTTCAGATTCAAGAAGAGGATGCCGGTGGGATCAATCATGGACATGGAACGAACAAGGCTGCCATGAGACATCCAGCACAGGACAAGCGCTAATGGCATTCCATGACGCATATGAGCATCATGAGAAAGAGGCCATCCAGATCCAATCAGATGCAGTCTCAGAACACAATTTGTCCGTCACAACAGATCACAGCCTTTTGGCGCCTGTCATCAACCCGCAGCACAATCCGACCTATGCGATTCTGGACAATGGATGTACCAGATCCATGGGCAGCTGGCATGCAATCCAGCGTTTTACTAAGGCCATCGAACCCATGAAAGACCTCATCTCATATCAGTACATCCCGTCCGAGACCAAGTTCACTTTTGCAAACGGACAAACAGCCAAGGTAAATTGGACCTTGCATCTCCGATATCACACAACTCCTCCATGCAGAGTACCAACATCGACGTCCTTGAACAAGGAACTGTACCGATACTCCTCGGCATCAGTCAGATGCGGAACCTCTACATGACCATCGAGCACACGCCTCAATGTGACAAGATCACATGCAAGGCCTTTGGCATGAACCGTCAAGCAGTTCCAGTATCCGGTACAGGACATGCACTCGTCGACCTTGCTGGAGTTGCAAGAGTGAAATCACATGGAGAAATTGCCATCAAGGGCCTCACCAACTACGTCTACGATGATGACAACAGCATCCGGTTTCCCTCCGGGGATATTTCCAAGAGTGAAACTGTTTGTGCATCAAAGTCATCCGAGACGAAGGAGGACCTAGCAACTCCTAAAATCATTGGGTCTCAAAAGCAGGACCGTTGGATCCTTTACAAGAAGAACAAGCAGCTCATCCGTGTGCACATTACGCCTCGCAAGGCGTTGTTCACACCAAATGGAGCCAGGGAATGTCCAATCAATCCTGATAATATCAGCCGAGAGCGTACTACGGAAATCATTGATGCATCCGAAGGTGGAGATCCAGACATCCTAGAAGACAATTGGAGACTTTTACATCCCAGGCAAACAAACCAATGATTAACCTGTGGATAGGTAAGACCATTTTCACCTTCGCGGACAATTCGCTTAAGGACGAAGAAGCGGCAGCAGACAGGATCATCGACAAGAAGGGCCGGTCGACCATTGAGCCAGATCCTTTCGCACCATCCTCAGAAGAACCAACGACGCTTCCGCTTGCACTAGGCAGAATCCACAAGCGATTGTCAAATCCCGAAGAGTTGAAGAAGCTCCACCTCTAGCATCATCACATGACAACAGATCAATTTCGATTTAGAACTCGCTCATTTGCCGAAATCAACATTCGATCTATTTGACAAAATCCGAAGTGAATGTGAAGTTTGCCAAGCGGCAAAACATGCACCATCACGAAGCGAGACGAGTGGACTTCGAGCGGACACCTTTGGTGACATGACATTCATTGATCACTGTCAAGTTCCTCTTGGAACAGGAGAACACATCATTGTTTTTGTCATCCTGGATGGAGCAACAACATTGCTCACTGCAGAGGCAGTGACAACTACGCAACAAGTCGAGAACATCACTGTCCTCAGGAACTATTTTGACCAGTACCACTTGCAGCCCAAATCAGTTGTCCAAGATCAAGCCTTCATGACAGAGACATGGGAACATTTCTATCAGTCCCTTGACATCACACCGATATCACTGGGACCGAACACACCATGGCCCAACCGAGCTGAAGCTGCAGTTCGACTCCTGAAGGCACAACTAAAGATCATGCTAAGTTCCATCAAGGCAGGCGCAGTGACATATAGACAGCTGGCGAAGGCAGCCGCAACTGTCAGGAATCAGACTGTTACCTACGGGGGTGTAACACCACTGGAGCTTGCATTCGGAAGACGACCAGCAGATCTCATCCAACTCGATGTCGCAACAGTTGACGATTGACAGGAATGAAGAGGAGCTGACAGCCATCCAGATCAAACAGCTGTCGAAGCAAGCATTCCAAGCAGCACGTCACGCCGAAGACATCCGACGAGACCTTGCTCAAAATTTCCGAATGAGTTCTAAGCCTCTTCAGGTGAAGGACAAGGTCTTTTACTGGCAGGAAGACAAATCCAAGATCCGTTCCGATGGAAGCAAGGGAGGAATATGGCTAAAAGGAAAAGTCATTTCCATTGAAGGAGCAATGGTAGGACTTGATCTTGGGACTCGACTCATCAAGGTTAACATGACGAAGGTCAGAAAGGATGAAACCATCCCTCCGGTGAAACCTGGAATTGATCTTCTATTGCCAGAAGAGCGAGAATCCTTGCAGAAGGAGAAAACCGGCTCCTCTGCCGACACCAAGAAGAAGGAGTCATCCGTACCAGCTCCTAAGCCAAAATCCTCAGTGCCATTACGTATTGCGGGAAAGACAACTCCCAAGCCTGCAGCACCTCATCCGGCAGAGAACATGTTCGTCGAGGACCTAACATCCATTCCTGAACAAGCTCATTGGAATTGTGTACGTAAAGGAAAGATCCACGTTCTCGAGATCTTTGCAGGAAGTGCCAGATTCAGTCAATGCTGCGCACTCTCAGGTCTTAAGGTTGGGACTCCCGTCGACATCCGCACCGGATTCGACGTGATGACATCCAAGGGACGACACATGGTCATGGAGATCATCAGGGAGCAAGCACCTGATGTAATCCTCATGGCACCGGTCTGTGGACCATGGTCAAATATGCAGAACATCCAACAAGACCAACAAAGAGTCTGGGAGAAGCGGAAACGCTATCTTCCCATGGTTGAGTTTGTGGCATCCATTGCACGATATCAGTCGAAGCACGGCAGATACTTCATCATTGAAAATCCGCAGACATCCAAGATATGGTATCTGAATTGTATGCAACAACTGTTTTCAGATCCATCCGTGACCTGGGGAGATTTCCATTTCTGCGCATACGGACTGAAAGATCCTGAATCCGGACTCAGAAGTCTCAAGCCCACGAGCTTGATGCACTGTTTACCTCCCGAGGTAATGAGACCGATCTTCAGAAGGTGTAAAAATTCTACCAGCTCAGTCAAGCATGAACATCAACCCCTAGAGGGAAATGCTGGTACTTTCGGAAGCAGGACCAAACTGGCACAGGTGTATCCTTACCAGTTCTGTCAGGATCTCGCGCACATCCTCCTGCGACACTTGAAGGTGAAACCACTTGACAACGAGGTGTACCTCTTAGAGGACCTTTTCGAACCATTCACCATCAAGCAGGTTGACATCCT